CCGAGGAACAAGAGGACGAGCGGCACGAAGGTAGTCAGACAAAGGAGGAGGCGCAACTGTAAGAGAGGATGGAGGAGGCGACGGTAGAAGGGGAGGACGAGACGCGTGGGAACGGAGCAACATACGGTGAGAGCGAGAAATAGGGGAGACAGGACGAGCACGGGAGGGACGGCGGGACCAGACATGAGACGGAGGCGTCGGGTCAGGAGACAGAGGAGGGGACACAAGGGGGGAGCGAGGGGGAAGACGAGCCGGGGATGAGTCCGGCGGAGGGAACACAGGGCCGTAGACAGGGAGAGGAGGAGAAGGCAGGAGAGGAACAAACGCAGGGTCAGGGGACGGAAGGCCGAGCAGGCGTAGGGCTGATACCGGCGGGGACTGCTGCTGCGGCCGCACAACTCCAATACCGGGACCGCAAGCTGCTCCTCGGCTACCTCCGGGACACTCCACTCCAGCACCCCCAGAAGGAACACCCCCAGAGCCCGAAACCCCAATGCGGGCACCCCCAGAGTCGACGAACTGCTGCTGCGACGGTGGCGGCAGCGGCGGGAACGACGGGTGCGGCGGCGACGGCAGCGGAGACGACGGCTGCAGAGGCTGTGGGGAGGAGACACCGGGGGAGGGGCAGACGGCGAGGACTGCGCCGCAGGACCACCGGAGTCAGAGGACTCCTCGACCGGGACAACCGACGGGAGAGGGGTGATGTGGGACACACCAGAGGGGGCAGGACGGGGAGGGGGAGGGGGGGGCAGGGACCACCTGGGAAGGAGTGACCAGGAACAGAGGGGGAGTAACCGGGGGACCGCGGTGGGGGAAGCGACGGTAGAAGGAGATGGACTCGTCAAAGGTGACGTCGCGAGAGTGAAAGAACCGGTGAGACGGCGAGTGGTGAAGTGCCAGTCGGACGCGTCAAGGGGGAAACCTAGGAAGACGCAGGGAAGGGTGCGAGCAGTGAGCTTGTCCGTGCCAGAGGCACGAACGTGAGCAAGGCAGCCCCAGACGTGGAACGCAGATGCGTCACTAGGAGACCCGGTCCAAAGAAGGGTCGGCGAAACCTGCGGCCGCTGGGGGCGGCCACAGGTTAAGCTGGTGCGCAGCGTAGTGCATGGCGAACGGCCACAAAAAATGGGGTGCACCGGCATGGATCATGGAGGTGCGAGCCACCTCCATGACCAAACCGATGCGTCGCTCATCGACCCCATTCTGCTGTGGGGAGTCCGGCAGGGTGAACGTCTGGGTGATGCCCTTTGCACGACAGAAGCGACCAAGGACACCTGAGGCAAACTCGCCACCACGGTCGGAGTGAAGACGCAAGACAGGGAGACCTCGGTGGACACGGCAGAGACAAGCCAGGGGATGAGAGCGGCAGGCACGTCGGCCTTGCGCTCCAGGGGAAAGACTGTGTGTAGCGAGTGAAGTCGTCGACAAGCACAGGAAGTAGCGCTCTCGACGCGGCCCATGGACGGGGGCGGGGCCCCAGACGTCCATGTGCAGGGTCTGCAGCGGCGCGGCGGTAGGGGGAATCGAGGAGGAGTGAGGGGCACGGCGAAGCCGACCCTCGACACAAGGCGTGCAAGGGAGGGCGGGGAGGAGGGAAAAGCGGGGAGAGAACCAGGGAGACCAAGGACGAGACCGTGCTGGGACATGTGACGCAGACGCGGGAGCGCAGGGTGACCTAGGCGGTGGTGCCAAAGGAGAGTCGGGTGAGTGAGGGACCGACAGGAGCAGGCAGTAGCAACCTGGGTAGACGCAGCCACCTGAAGGAGCGCCCCAGCCGGGGGGTCACGGTGTCCAAGGTGAAGAGGCCGGACACCGGGTCCCGGGGGAACGTGGACAGGGGGCACCAGTGGCGGCCTCGGTACAGACAGCATACCGCTCGTGACCAGGGAACGTAGTGGTGACGCCAAGGTCCTGGAGGCAGCCGACACCAACTAGGTTCCTGGAGAACGAGGGGATATGCAGACCTGTGAGAGAGCCCGAAGGAACCGCCGGACAGGGAAGGTGGTGGAACTGCGAGCGACGACCGGACTGCCGGAGGGGTCAGCAAGAGAAACTACAGCAGGAACAGGAAGCGGCGTCAGCGTAGTAGAGTCGCGGAAGAAACATCGGGAAGCGCCAGGGTCCAATGTGAAGGAAAGCGAAGCAGTGGCGTTTGGCGACGGGGCGACGGCGGAAGCACCTAGGCTAAACAAAGCAGGAGCTCCTACGCCTGACGCAGCAGGGGAGGCTAAGCTAGGCACACCTACACTAGGCGACAAGAATAATAAGAGGGGAGCACACTAGAGTCATCAGCATACATCACATGCAGGGCAGAAACAATGGCATCCATGTCCATGTCAAAAATCTGAACTCTACGACTAAGCAGGCTGTGCCAGTCCGGGAGGTCGGGCGACGGGCCGAAGCGCTGACGAAACAGGTGTCCAGGCCACGAAAACAGCGGGCAGTGGCGTGACCGATCTTACCGCAAACGAAGCCGCGGTGAGGACCGGTCTGGATCTGGTACTGACAGCGCACGCCTCCCGAACCGCCACCCGGCACACCACCACTCGCACGACCACCACCAGCGCCAGGCCACCCGGCGGGAGGGCACTCGCCTGCCTTGTCTGCGGCGGCTGCTGCGGCTGCTGCGGCTGCTGGGGCGGCTGCTCAGCTGAACCTGGCAGGGTCCCCTCGTCCGCTCCACCACCTCCTCCGCCGCGCCCAGCCTTGGGGCGGCGGCCCTTCCCCGGACGGAACTGCGCTGCAGCGGCGGTCTCAGCCACAGCTGTAGAACCATCGGAGAAGGTGCACTGAGCGGGGGCACAACCCTGAAAGATAGGGACCGGCACAGTACCGCTCGCCTGGGCGATAGAGCGGTGGCGGGTCTCAATAACAGTCAGGGTGTCTACAAAGTCTGTGAGGGTGAGGTCACCGGGGTGAATGCTAAGGAAGCGGTCACGAGCAGCGGCAAGGCGGTCAGGGAGGCGGGTGGCAAGCAGGTAGAGGGTAGAGGTAAGGGGCGGCTGGTGGGCTATAAGCTGTGCGTCAGTGCAGGCAGCGCGTCAGGTCTCATCTATCGTGCGCAGGTGGGCAGCCAGGTCAGCTACAGTGGGGAAAGATGCAAGGTCAGGAAAGAGCATCGGTAGGATCAGGCGACCCACCGAGGCAGCAGGCGGGGCGGAATAGCGCCGGATAACAGCATCTAAGAAAGCCTGGGCGGTGGTGATAGACCTAAAGCGAGGACGCTTAGACGAGGGGAGGGCATTGCTAATGGCAAGCTGGGAGACAGCGTCACGGGAAAGCCAGACAGAGCGAGCGAGGGCAGCGGCCGCAGTAGACTCGTGCTCAGTAGGTGTGGGGACAGCGGGCAGCACATCAAGGGGTCTGGGCAGGGAAGCGTACCGTCAAGGTGTGCCGAGAGCGGGTGGCCATCCTGCCGCTGACCAGTGAGGTGGCGGCGGAGGTCGGCTAGCCAGGCCTCGAACTCCAGAGGCTGGCCTTCAGCGTCGCAGCGAAGCTCCGCCGCCATCAGGAACAGTGCAGGGCAGGGCCAGGTGAGGCAGTGCAGCGCGGTACAGTGCAGTGCAGGGCGGTACAGTGCGGTGCAGCGCGGTGCCGTGCGGTGCAGGGGGTGCAGTGTAGTGCAAGGTGATGGAGAACCGTACCAGGGAGGGTGCAGTGCAGTAGCAGGCACGAAGAGCGGGCCGCACGCAGATCGGCGGCAGTCCGGCGGGAAGGTGAGCACGGGGCCGGAGATCGACGGGCAGGGCGCGCGCAGGGGTCGGCAGAACGGGCGCGGGGGCCAGTAGCGGCGGGCGCCGGGCCGGCGAGGACGGGCGCGGGGGCGAGGTAGGACGGGCGCGGGCCGGCTAGGATGGGCCTGGGACGGGCGCAGGGCCGGCTAGGACAGGCCTGGGACTAGCGCGGGGCCAGCTAGGACGGGCGCGGGGGCCTGTAGGACGGGCGGGGGCCAGCTAGGACGAGCGCGGGGGCCGGCTAGGACAGGCGCAGGAGCCGGTAGGACGGGCGCGGGGGCCGCTAGGACGGCCGCAGGGCCGGCTAGGACGGGCGCGGGGCCGGTAGGACGGGCGCGGGGACCGCTAGGACGGGCGCGGGGCCGCTAGGACGGGCGCGGGGCCGGCTAGGACGGGCGCGGGGGCCGGTAGGACGGGCGCGGGGGCCGCTAGGACGGGCGCGGGGCCGGTAAGGATGGGCGCGGGGGGGTAGGACGGGCGCGGGGCCGGTAGGACGGGCGCGGGGGCCGGTAGGACGGGCGCGGGGGCCACTAGGACGGGCGCGGGGGCCGCTAGGACGGGCGCGGGGCCGGTAAGGAAGGGCGCGGGGGCCGCTAGGACGGGCGCGGGGGCCGCTAGGACGGGCGCGGGGCCGGTAAGGACGGGCGCGGGGCCACTAGGACGGGCGCGGGGCCGACTAGGACGGGCGCGGGAGCCGTGAGGACGGGCGCGGGCCAGCTAGGACGGGCGCGGGGCCAGCTAGGACGGGCGCGGGGCCGGCTAGGATGGCGCGCGGGCCGTTAGGACGGGCGCGGGGCCAGCTAGGACGGGCGCGAGGGCCGTGAGGACGGGCGCGGGGGCCAGCTAGGACGGGCGCGGCGGGCGCAGCTAGGACGGGCGCGCGGGCGCGGCTAGGACGGGTGCGGGGTCGACTAGGACGGGCGCGGGGGCGGCTAGGGCTTAGGGCGGAAGCATGGGCGGGCGGCGGGACCTACCTACTGCTGATACCATCTTAAAACTGAGTAATGAATAGAGAACCTGTGTACAAGCATACATATCTAAGGGTTTTACTCTCTAAGAGGTGACCCTATACAGTCTATACAAACATCAGATGTACTAATGTTTGACACAAACCTCCTCTCTCGATATTTTTCCTTCCACCCAAAACCTCACGCCATTTATATGGCTACCCTAGCTACCTAGCTTCTTCAACATGAACCTCTTTATTTCCACTTTGCCCTTCTTTACAATGTTACCGTAAGAGACAGTAGAACTGTAGGAACAGACCGGCAACAAATAGTGATGTACAAGACTCAACCTAGTGGCTAGATAGAAATGTGATCTTGGCTGCTAGCATATGGTCATGGTGTCATCATCATCAGCTTCAAAATTGCCAGAATTAGTCCTGGCATGCTGCTGGTGTTCCCTCGCATACGGTACAAGATTATCTCTCCCTAATTGCTACCACATTCAAGAAAATAGGAATAACACTCGTCTAAACTGTCTTCCTCACTACAGGGTAAGCTGCTCAGGATCCTCCACAATCTTAGCAAAAGTTTGGAGGAACTCTGCCAGGTCAGCGCCATAGATGATGCGGTGGTCTGCCGTGACATTGATCTGAGCCATGCAAAAGAGGGACAGGGAACAAGGAGGGAGGGAGACCATAAACACCATAAACAAATGGCAACAAACAGTGAAGTTGATGGAAAGGAACAAGTCAGAATGACAGGGGCCAGGGGAGGGAACAGGAGAACAGGATCAGGGACCCATGGAACAGGTGTATCGGTGATGGTCCATGGACGTCAGGAAAGCCAGCTGGCGCTTGCAAGCGGACTATAGACGGTTGCCAGAGGGAGGAAGAGGATTGGAGGGAGGGAAGGGAGAAACAGGGGGGCCACTGACCTGCTGCCCCACTCTTTGCTGCCCACTGACCAGGGATAGGGTTTGAAGGGTATTTCACCCTGATTACCCTTGCCAGCACAGCAGCCACTATTTGGAGTATACCCTGATTTTGTAAGGGTAAAAAATCTATTTGAAGCCAAATTTGCCCCTAGCACCCTTACAAATCAGGGTGAAATCATAAGAATACCCTGATTCCTAAGGGTGCCTCAAAACCAATGTCTGTCCCTGCCACTGACCTGCATCTGCCTCTTGATGCCGAAGCTGCCGTCCTCTGCTGCCACCATCGTTGGGATGGACGATCCGACGGCCATGATCGCACCCGCGAGCGCACCCATATCAATGGTTGTTGTGGAAAATTTGTGCAAGAGACACTATCAGCTGATTACGAAAGGTACTTTATATGTTCAAAGTCTGAAATAAAGCAACAGCACACTCCCCAACACACACTCAGAGTTCGCACCCCCACCCACACATGATTCACTTTCAAAAGTAGGTTAGTTTGTGAGACATCTCAAAACTAGTTCACACACCCCTCACCTGGCCGATGGGTAGGATGGCATCAAACCGGTCCACTCCAAACATGCCCAGATTGGAAAGGGTGAAGGTTCCTGGAAGGAGAGGCACACGGAGGGGTGAGGAAGGCGAGTCCTTGAGCAAAAAGAGAGAGTGAAGGTCTCTGGAGGGAGGGGAGGTCTCTGGAGGAGGGGAGGTCTCTGGAGGAAGGGGAGGTCTCTGGAGTGAAGGTCTATGGAGGGAGGGGGAAGACAAGCGCACAATTGGCTGTGAGCACGAGAGGAGGAACTAGCACAAGCATGCTTCTAAGCAGGCAGTTGCTGCAATTCATGAGTTGTGGATTGCCCAAGTGAGAAGCTAGACTTTCCTAGTAATAAAAAACTCCAATAGCTTCCGCCTCACCTCCCCATGAACAGCTTATCGCTCCCCACAATCATCTCAATCATTTCACCTCTCCACCACCCACCCCTGGCACTCGTTTCTTATCCATCTCCACTCCAGCCCCTTCAACTTAACTTTTTCTCCCCCCCTCACCTCCAGTGTAGTCGCTGGGGCTCAGTGCCTTTCTCCTCGCCTTGCCCACCAGCTCCTTCCATTGCCCCGACATCGTGAACAGGTCAGTCTGGGGTAGGGAGATATAAGGGAGGGGGGGAAGAGGGTGTGTGGGATAAGTGACATTCTCCGTGCCTTGCCTGCTAGCTCCTTCCATTGCCCTGACATCATGAACAGGTCAGTCTGGGGTAGGGAGATATAAGCAGAGGGGGGGAAGAGGGTGGGTGGGATAAGTGGCTTTCTCCTGGCCTTCCTCACCAGCTCCTTCCACTGCCCTGACATCGTGAAACAGGTCAGTCTGGGGAAGGGGGAAACAGGAGGGAGGTGAGAGGAGGGGGTTGAGGAGAGGGAAGGGTGTGTGGCATTAATGACTTTCTCCTCGCCTTGCCCACCAGCTCCTTCCATTGCCCCGACATCGTGAACAGGTCAGTCTGTGAGGGAGGGAGTGGGGGATGGAGCAGAGAGTATAGGGTGGATTCTCCTGCAGCTACATGCATGGACCAGTGAGGCAATGGGATAAGCACGGCAGGCCTTGAACGGATGTGAAAGCCCTTCTTTGAGCTGACATAGTGTAAAGGTGTGGTTACAGGATGTGAATGTGTGTGTGTGTGGCGTGTGTGTGTGTGTGTGTGTGTGTGTGTGTGTGTGGTGTGTGTGTGTGTGTGTGTGTGTGTGTGTGTGTGTGTGTGTGTGCATGTGCGTGTTTGTGTGTGTGCGTGTGCATGCGTGTGTGTGTGTGTGTGTGTGCGCGCGCCGCGCGCGCACGGGTGCAGGTCTGTGTGTGTGGGCGCACACGCGCACGAGGGAGGGGAGCCAAGAAGCAAATCGGAGGCAGATGGATGTGGATAAATGTAGATGGAGGTGGTGTGGATGGGGATAGATGCATGAGCTCCATCCATGCATGAGCGAAACTATCACTATCCTACTATCCCAAGTACCTGGTCAGCGTTCTTCAGCACCGGGGTGATGAGCCCGCCGTCCATGGCAACAGCCACCGCCACATTCACACTCGCGTTATAATGGAAGCTCTTGCCGTCCTTGCACGCCGCGTTCACTATGGGGTGCCTCGCCAGCGCCAAGCCCACTGCCTTGGCGAGCAGAGCAGTCATCGTCACTCCCTTACCCTTCACCTGCAGTGATGGGAGAGGAACAGAGAGGAAAGGAGGTGAGAGGGGACAGGACGCGTGTTTTTTCGCCAGTGGAAGCTCTTGCCGTCCTTGCAGGCCCCATTCACAGTGGGGTGCGCCTCTAGAGCAATGCCCACTGCCTTGGCCAGGAGAGCAGTCATCGTCACTTTTTTAGTCCTGCTCCCCTCTCTCACATTGTCTTGGGGGGGGGTAGCCCTGCCGTCGTCACTCCCCTGCCCTTCACCTAAGGAATTGAGGGAGAACGAGAGAGATCAGCAGCAGCAGGAGCAGCATCAACACAAACCAAAACCACACACTCACCCTCTTGTCGAGTGCGTCGAGAGCGTCGGTGGTAACCGTGTAGCTGACGCGGAAGGTGGGCACATCCGTGGCCTCCATGTTGCGCGCCACTGCCCCCTGCATGGCTGTGAACGCCACCACTGACGCACCCACTGGCAGCGGTGCTGCTGCTGCAGGAACAGCAGGACCAGGAGCACGAACACCATCCACAACACACCCCAACACTAGCCCCAGGAGTAGTGGCACTCACCCTCTTGTAGAGAGCGTCAAGGGCGTCAGTGGTAACCGTGTAGCCAACGCGGAAGGTGGGCACGGCGAGCGTGGCCTCCATGTTGCACGCCACTGCCCCCTGCATGGCTGTGAACGCCACCACTGACGCACCCACTGGCAGCGGTGCTGCTGCTGCAGGAACAGCAGGACCAGGAGCACAAACACCATCCACAACGCACCCCAACACTAGCCCCAGGAGTAGTGGAACTCACCCTCTTGTAGAGAGCGTCAAGGGCGTCAGTGGTAACCGTGTAGCCAACGCGGAAGGTGGGCACGGCGAGCGTGGCCTCCATGTTGCGCGCCACTGCCCCCTGCATGGCTGTGAACGCCACCACCGACGCCCCCGCTGGCAGCGGCACCGCTGCTGCTGCTGCAGGAGCAGCAGCACGAGCAGCAGGGGCAGGGGCGGCAGCAGCAGCAGGTGGGGCGATGGTGGGGGCAGGGGTGGTTGCCGATGCCGGCTGCCTTCTTGACGTCTTCGGGGGTGACCCGGCCATAGGGACCTGAGCCGGCAATCTTGGCGAGATCAACCTGCAGACGAGAGCGGTCAAAGGGGAAATATGCAAATACGTCAGGCCCCTCAAGCCTCAGGGGCGGTTGCGATGCCGGCTGCTTTCTTGACGTCGTCTGGGGTGAACCGGCCGTAAGGGCCCAGGCCTGCTATCTTGGCAAGATCAACCTGCAGAGAGGAGCGGTCGTCTGGGATTGGGCGGGAAGGATGCCTGCTACTTTCTTGACGTCGACAATCAGGGGTGACTTGGCCATAGGGGCCTGAGCTGGCTATCTTGGCGAGATCAACCTGCAAAGGGATGGCAACAGGGAAGAGAAGAGCGGAGGAAGGTAGGGACTGGAAGCAGAGGAGGAGGGCATAAGTGGGCCGTTAAAATGAAGGCAATGCAATGCCTGGTGCTCTCATCACGTTCAGCAAGAGATTAGGCCGTAGGGACCAAGGCTACTAGCTGCGGAGATAGACCGGCAGAGGAAGGAAGAGGAGGACGAAACGGGGAGGGAGAAAGAGGGAGTTGGGAGGCAGAGGAGGAGAGAACAAATGGGTGGGTCCAGGTGATGTGAAGGCGACTTTGGGGTCAGAAAGCTGGACATGGGAAAGCTGGCAAATGGTGTGGGGCCCTTTCACCTGTTTAGTTCTCAGGCTCCTGAACTCCTGCCTCGTACCTTGTGTTTCTTTGCCAGCTTCTTCGCCTCAGGAGTCGCAACAACCTTCCCAGGGGTAGCAGGCGCCGCGGGCGCAGGGGGCGGGGGAGGAGGGGCAGCGGCAGCAGGGCAGGAGCAGCGGGCTCAGGAGCAGCGGGAGCAGCAGCAGCAGCGCCGTCAGAACCAGCGAGCTTGGCGGCCTTCTTCTTGGCGTCTTCCAGGTCGTCCTCGCTCTCAGCCAGGATGGCGATGGCTGCACCCACAGGGGCCACCTGACGGAAAGGTGAGGGGGGGAGGTGGATCAGGTGAGTGTTTGGGGCGTATGTGTTGAGTTGAGCCGCCCTGGTGTTTTGCGCCTTGCGTCTTGAGGCATCTTGAGGCGCCTTAGGGCATGGCCATGGCGACCTTCATCTTGGCATCCTCAAGGTCGTCCTCTCTCTCTCTGCCAGGATGGCAATGGCCTCACCCACAGGGGGCACCTGGTGGAGGGAAACAAGGGAGGGTGCTTTCACGATGGTGGGTGCTTTGTCGGGTGTTTTGGTGGGTGCTTGGGTGGTGATTTGACATGTTTCTCGGCCGCTATCTTCTTGGCGTCCTCCAGTTCGTCCTCGCTCTTTTTCAGGATGGCAATGGCCGCACCACAGGAGCCACCTGATGGGGTTGAAAGGGAAAAGCTGGTCCATGCTGGGGGGAAGGGACATTGACAGCTCGGTGATGCGAGAGGAGCAAAAAACAGCGCTCCGTGATACGAACTACAAGCTTTCCCGACAAAAATCGTGGCAATGATGCCGTTGTAGAACGTCTCCACGTCCATGCCCGCCTTGTTCCCTCACAACCCCCTGACCCCCCTAACTGTACCTCCCCCTTTCTCACTGTGGCTCACCTCGCCTTCCCCCACGAGAATGGTGGCGATGATGCCGTCGTAGAACGTCTCCACGTCCATGTCCGCCTTGTCCGACTCCACCACCACCACCGACTCGCCCTTGCTCACAGTCTCGCCCTCGCTGCAACGAGAAAGGAAGAGGGGGAACAGAATGGAAGGGAGGGAATGAGTCTATCTGGACCGTTCGTGTCCGCCTTCACCGACTCACCACCATCACCACCACCACCACCACCACCACCACCACCGACTCGCCCTTGCTCACGGTCTCGCCCTCGCTGTGACGGGAGGAAATGGAACGTTTGGAGGGGAAGAGTTGAAAAGGGGAGAGATGAGCCTAGCCCGTCAATCCGCCTTGTCCGACTCCACCACCACCACAACGAGTCGCCCTTGCTTACGGCCTCGCCCTCGCTGCCATGTGAACGAAAGGTTGGGGGGGCGGGGCAGATGGAAGGGGAGGGGATGGGCCTAGACCGTCCATCTCCGCCTTGTCCGACTCCATCACCACCACCGACTCCGGTGTGTGTGTGGGGCGGGGGTGGGGGGATGAGGGGGAGAGGGGGAGGATGGGAGGGCAGGGAGCGTGAGTGGAAAATTAGCCTAGTGCGGCAATCCGCCTTGTCCAAATCCACCCCCACCACCGACTCGCCCTTGCTCACGGTCACGCCCTCGATGTGACGTTGAGCGGACAGGGGAGGTTAGGTAGAGGGATACAAACGCGTACAGAGAGTAACGAGTAATCCGGTAGCGATAGCTGACGGCACAGAAGCGTTACCGAGTACGTACGGACGACTTTCAATCCGATTCATATATCTTTAGGACCACGCGACGATCTTCCCCTCGGCTATACTGGAGCTGAGATCGGGCATGGAGATCACTCTCCCAATCACCTCTAAATAGTCGCTCTTCCTACTGACCACTTGGACCACGCGACTATCTTGCCCTCGGTCATCGTGGAGCTGAGAGCAGGCGTGAAGATCTCTTTCCCAATCACCTCTGAATAGTCGTCCTTCTGACATACCTCTTGGACCATGCGACGATCTTCCCCTCCGTCATGGTGGAGCTGAGAGCCGGCATGAAAATCTCGCGCACCCTCGCCTCTGTCACAAGCCGAGAAACCCGGTGGCGCGGCAACGGCGCTGGGGTCACAAGGCGATGAGAGACGGTACCTGCTGAGAGCACCAGGACACGAAGAAGCGTACGAGAGAAATCAGGGCGGAGCATAGTAGAAGGACAGAAAGACCAAGGTAGCAGGATGCAGAGCTGGTCAAGGCACCGCAAGTCGCCAAGCCATATACACGCCAGCCTCTATCCTTTCCTCTTCAAACTCCCCCTTTCGGTAATCTCCTCCCTTCAGTCAACCACCGCCTTGGCCAGTGAGATGCACAAGAGGAGCGCACATAAGCGGAGGTCAAACCCCAAAATCCTGCATTCCTGCTCAAATCAATGCGTTGATCGTGACTGAAGTCGTCGACCTGCGTTACATACATCGTCCCTTGTCCTACGTCAGTCATAAGAAGCGTCTGGAACTGCCAGCTGATTACCGCGTGCGATTCTGATTACCTAGTCTAAGGTCCATGTCAACTACCTTCAGGGCTCTTCAATCGCACATAACATCTAGTAAAAAACACCAAGATAAGCGACACGCGCATAACGCCTCCCGCTCGCACCTGAAGAGCGGAGGAAGCCGTTAGACGCAATGAGTGACTTCTCCATAGCTCTCAGCGACATCCCGCTAGTGCACGCCATGGCGACGACTGCACGAGGGTATCACCAAGGATGGCGAAAGGCAAAACTTGCGTTCTAAAGCAACCTCTACAGCAGGTTGACGGTCACCAAGGCGGAAGTAAGGAGGGTGCTGCTGGAGCTGAGTGAATCTGAGTGAATCCAAATTGCTGTTGCACTCCCCTAGTTCCTGTCTCCTTCACTCCAGTAAGAAAGAACCAATATCTAGGAGGTGCCTGCTGAAAGTGTCATTGTCAATTTCTCTGTGACCAGATTCCCCTGCGCGGAGATTCCTGGGTCGTGTCGTCGTGGGCTTGATCCTCCCCCCTGGTCCTGCTGATCAGCTTCCCCCCAAAACATTGGGGGAAGGCCCCTAGAGGAGGGCTTCACATGTGCGCGGGTGTGTGCGGGGTGGAAGGGAGTTGAACTGCGCTTGCGCGCGGAAGGCAAATGGATACAGTTCACGCAGAATGTGATGCGGGGCAGATCGCGACAGGATCAAGGGTGGATGGAAAAAGGAACAGAAATGGTAACCGCCACACATGTCCACGTCAGGGAACAGTCATCGACTCTTCGACAGCCTTCCACCTCGGATACCACGCGGCAGTTCTTATCGTTGCGATTGGCAGAGATGCATCTGCCGCCACACATCAACCAGCTCAACTGCTCACAAACTTTTGAGTGGTGGTGACTGAAAGTATTACAAGCTACACCATCTCACAAACGTTGCTCCTTGCATTTAAATTTCACCAAGCGCCCAAGGGTGTAGATGAAAATATTTACTAAGCAGTTCATAGAGCCAAAAGATAACATTATAAAAAACAAATTCATATGATCATCAGTAATCGATAAGGGCTATTAAGTTCACAGGTTTCAAAAAATTCAAGTGGAAGGCTACTTATTTGGTGTATATTATAGGGAAAGTACATCCGCGCTCAGTATTAGGGTTACCGCTATTACGTACAGTCATTAGAATGCTAAAAACCCTCGGAATTAGTGAGTTTGTCACACGGCTAGTCAGTCAGGTTCCACGGTTAGTCAGTGACTGCTGGTAAACATTTCTACGAATGGTCAGTCGACGTAACCCCCGCCCATTTTGGGCAGATTTTGTTGAAGTGAAAAAATTACTAGAATACTGACATACAAGGGAATATAGTCTAATGGGTTGTACTCCCTAAGGCATAACCCTATATAGTCTATAACAATATACAATATATATTTTACACACCCCCTAGACTGTCATCTACTGTTAGAGGGGTGGGCAGTGCGAAAGAGAACTGAAGGCCGAACCTCTGAAGGACCTGGCGCACCAAGTCTGACTGTGTGAGAGTGATGGTGCGCGCTGCTCTGTCACTGGAGATCTGCAAGCAAGGTAGCGGCGCAGCTCTCCTGGGTCAGTGCAGGTGTGTCTCCTCAGAAGCTCGGCCTTCACGGAGGCCAGCGCGTCTCTGTCTCCAGTAGCAAAGACCAGGTCGTCTACGTAGACAAGGATGTAGAATGGAGTCTGGCCGGAACAAACGAAGAGCAAGTGGTCTGCAGACGAAGGGAAAAACTGCAAGTCAGCAAGTGTAGCACGATGCGTGTCGTGCCACTCACGGGGCGCCGGAGGAGCCAGTCGGTGCAAGGGGGAAAGGTACCGGAGAAGCCCTGGGGGCGGCGCAGGTAGACCTGCTTGTGTAGACTGCCCTGGAGGAAAGCTGTGGAGAAGTCGAGGGAGTGCAGCTCATAGTCACGCTGTGCTGCTACGTGTAGTAATGCCCGAAGGGTAGTCATCTTCGTGGTCGAGACGAAGGCCTGAAAGAAGTCCACCCCCTCACGCTGAATGAAGCCTCGAGCAACGTAGCGCGCCTTAAAGACAAGCGGTTCTCCAGGAGGGCGCTTCACCTTGGAGAGCCACCGGCCATCAACTACATTCACCCCAGGTGGGGGAACTGCATCGACGAAGGTACCGATGGATCTCCAAGATGCCATCTCCTACTCCATGGCAGCTATCCACTGAGAGGCCCAGGGTCCCGAGGTGGCCTCAGCGTAGATACGAGGGGTCGGGATGTCAAGGGCGTCTGGGTCAACCTCAAGGACTAGAAGCATGGAACAGAGATGGGGAGCGGCCTCAGACAGGAAAGCGAGCTCGAACTTCCTGTCCTCTAGGACGTCACTGCCAAGAGCAGTTACACCCCCGACGGTCGGAGGGTAGGCAGGGTCAGAGACCAGAGCGGTAGCGTAGTCCAGGCGGCGGGTATTGGCGAGGTCAGTGACAGCAGCAACAAGAGCCGACAGACTCGAGCCAGGAATGGACAGGTCGGTAACGAGAGAGGCAATGACACAAGGAACAAGAGGACGCGCAGCACGGAGGAAGTCAGAGAACGGAGGCGGGACCACAGCAAGTGACGACGGAGGAGGAGACGGGAGGAGAGGAGGAGCACCAGATGCGTGAGAGCGAAGCAACATAGGGTGAGAACGCGGAACAGGGGAGGTAGGACGAGCACGAGAGGGACGATGAGACCAGACGTGAGACGGAGGGGTCGGGAACGGAGAGAGGGGAGGAGACAGAGGAGGAGAACGTGGGAGGAAACACTGAGACGGGGGAGGCACTGACAAGTGATCAGGGGATGGAAGACCGAGGAGGCGAAGAGCGGACACCGGCGGCGACGGCTGCGACTGCTGCCCGACCCCAATTCCAGAACCTCCAGCGATAACACGGCTCCCTCCGAGAAGCCCCACGCCAGCACCCCCATAGCCCGCTCCAAAACCAGCTCCAGCCAGCTCCCCAGCAACCCCAGAACACACGAACCCCAGCGGCGGTGACGACGTCGGCCGTAGCTGCGACTGCGACGGTAGTGGCGGAGGCGGCTGCGGTTGGGACAGCAACGGCGACGACAGAGGAGGGGAAACCAGGGCGGGGACAGATGGGGGAAGAGAGTCCGCCGAGCCACGAGAGTCAGCAGACTCATCGGCAGGGACAACCGACAGGATGGGGGTGACGTGAGACACACCAGACGGGGCAGGGCGGGGAGGGGGGGGAACAGGGGCGACCAGGGGAGGGGGGGGAACCAGGAACTGGGGGGGAGTGACCGGGGGACCACGGTGGGGAAAGCGGTTATAGAAGGAGACGGACTCATCAAAAGTGATGTCGCGAGAGTGAAAGAAACGGTGAGAAGGCGGGTGGTAGAACTGCTTGTCCCTAAACCTAAGAAGACACAGTGGACGTGCGGGCAGTGAGCTTGTCCGTGCCAGAGGCACGAACGTGAGCAAGGTAGCCCTAGTCGTGGAACGAAGACGCGTCACCAGGAGACCCGGTCTAGAAGAGGGTCGACGAAACCTGCGTCCGCAGAGGGTGCGGCCACATGTTAAGCTGGTGGGCGGCGTAGCGAACGGCGAACGGCCTCAAACAATGGGGTGCACCGGCATGGATCATAGAGGTACGAGCCACCTCCATGACCAAGCTGATGCGTCGCTCAGCGACCCCATTCTGTTGCGGGGAGTCTGGCAGGGTGAACATCTAGGTGATGCCCTCCGTACGATAATAGCGACCAAGGCAGCCAGAGGCGAACTCGCCACCACGGTTGGAGTGAAGGCGCAAGACAGGGAGACCTCGGTGAACACGCCATGAGACAAGCCACAGGAGAAGAACGCCAGGCACGTCGTCCTTCCGCTCCAGGGGAAACACAGTGGTGTAGCGTGTGTAGTCGTCGACAAGCACTAGGAAGTACCGCTCGCGACGCAGCTCATGGACGAGGGCGGGGCCCCAGACGTCCATGTGTAGGGTCTGCAGTGGTGCGGAGGTGGGGGGGAACAAGGAGGAGTGAGGGGCACAGCGGAGCCGGCCCTCGATAAGGGCATGCACGGAGGCGCGGGTGAGGAGGGGAGCGCAGTGAATGACTCAAGGAGACCTAGGACAAGACAGTGCTGGGACATGTGACGGAGATGGGTGAGAGCGGGGTGACCTAGACGATGGTGCCACAAAAGCGACAGGTGAGTAAGCGACTGACACGAGCACGCGGCAGCAACCTGGGAAGACGCTGCTACCTGGGGGGGCGTCCCAACTGGAGGGGGACGCGGTGTCCAGCGTGAACAGGCCAGACACCGGGTCCCGGGGGAACGTGGTGAGGGGGGCACCAGTGGCGGCCTCAGTACAGACAGCGTACCGCTCGTGCCCAGGGAACGTAGTGGTGACACCAAGGTCCTGGAGGCAGCCGACACCAACTAGGTTCCTAGAGAATGAGGGGATGTGCAGACCTGTAAGGGAGCCCGAATGAACCGCCGGACAGGGGAGAGTAGTGGAGCTACGGGCAACTACAGGACCGGAGGAAGGATCTGCACGAGCAATTGCAGCAAGAGTAGGAAACGGTGTAAGTGTGGTGGAGTCGCGAAAGAAACACCGGGAAGCCCCGGAGTCCAGGGTGAAGGAGAGCGCGGCAGCGGCGACAGAGGTCGGAGAAGCGAGGGAGGACCCAAAGCTAAACAAGGCAGGGGATCCTACGCCTGACGCAGCAGGGGAGCCGAAACTAGACACAATGGGCACACCTACACTAGGCAACACAGAGTAATAGGAACCAGTCACACTAGAGTCATCGACATACAGCACATATAAAGCAGAGCTTATCTTATCCATATACATATCAAAGATCCTAACACCACGACGGAGCAGACTGTGCCAGTCGGGGAGGTCAGGCGACGGGCCGAAGCGGAGACGAAACAGGTCGTCGAGGTGCCAGAAGCAACGAGTGGGGATATGGCCGATCTTACCGAACACGAGGCCGCGGCGAGGACCGCTCTGGAGCTGGTATTGGCAGCGCCCGTCACTCTGACCACCACCTAACGGCACACCGCGCACACGACCCTCGCGACCACCGTCACCGTTGGCTCCAGGCCACCCAGGTGGGGAGACGGCCGACCCGCCGCTGCTGCGGGTGCTGCAACAGCTGCTGCTGCTGGTCCAGCGACGGCGCCTACTGCTGCTGCTGCTAGGACTGCTGCTCCGAGGCACCAGCCCTAGCCCCCCCGTCAGTACTACCAGCGGGCGAGCCACCTCCACTACCTGCACCACCCCCTCCTTTGCTACCTCCGCCGCGCTCAGCCTTGGGGCGGCGACCCTTACCCGGACGAAACTGCACTGCAGCGGCTGTCTTAGCAACCGCGGCAGTACTGTTGGAATAAGCACACTGAGCAGGGGCACAGCCCTGAAAATAGAGACAGGCACGGTACCGCTAGACTGGGCGATAGAGCGCTGACGAGTCTCTACGGCTGACAGGGTGTCAACAAAGTCAGTGAGGGTGAGGTTAGCGGGGTGGAGACTAAAGAAGTGATCGCCGGCAGTGGTAAGGCGGTCAGGGAGACGGGTTGCGAGCAGGTAGAAGGTAGAGCAGATGGGGGGATGAAATACACAAAACTGGGCCTCAGTGCAGGCAGCGCGTCAGGTCGTGTCTAGCGTGTGAAAATGGGCAGCTAGGTCAGCGGCGGTAGGGAAAGACGCGTGGTCAGGAAAGAGCATAGGCATGATTAGACGGCCTACAGAGGCAGAGGGCGGTATAGAATAGTGCGCAACAACAGCCTCTAGGAACTCCTGCGCAGTCCTGACCGACCTAAAGCGGGGGCGCTCGGACAGGGGGAGGGCATGACTAATCGCAAGCTGTGCGACAGCGTCACGCGACAACCAATCAGCACGGGCAAGGGCAGCAGCAGCAGCAGACTCACGGTCAGCAGACGTGGGATCAGCGGGTAGAGCAGCAGGGGGGTCCGGGCAGGGGAGCGTACCGTCGATGTGGACGGCCAGGGAGTGGCCGTCTTGCCGCTGACTAGTTAGGTGTCGTTGGAGGTCGAGGAGCCACGAGTCATACTCAATCGGCTGCCCCTCCGCATCAAAACGCAGGACCGAGTCCGGCATCATAGTCGCTGCAGCAGCAGAAAGGCGATGGGCAGTAGGGTCCGTCGGAAAGTGGTGATGTGCGGAACGGTACTGTACAGTGCGGTAGAGGGAGGTGCAGTACGGTAGGGAGCGGTGCAGCGTGGTGCAGTGCGGTGCAGAGTGGTGTAGTGCGGTGCAGTTCGGTGTAGAGCGGTGCAGTGCAGTACCGAGCGGTGCAGTGCGGTGTTAGGCGGTGCAGAGTGCCGAGGAAAGCGGCGAGGCGTCGAGGAGACGGGGCCGCTGGCGGCGAGGCGACGGGGCCGGTTAGGCGTGGAGGTGACGAGGCCGGCTGGACGACGGGGCGGCTAGGCGACAGGGCCAGCAGCGGGACAGAGCCGGTGGGGCCACGGGGCCTGCTAGGCGACGAGGTCGGCTAGGAGGCGCGGTCGGCTAGGAGGCGGGGTCGGCGAGGAGGAGGGGCCGGCTAGGAGACGGGGCCGGCTGGGCGGCAGGGTCGGCTGGGCTACGAGGCCGGCTAGGAGGCGGGGTCGGCCAGGAGACGGGGCCGGCTAGGAGGCGGGGCCGGCTGGGCTACAGGGCCGACTAAACGACGGGGCCAGCTAAGCGACGGGGCTGGTCAGACGACGGGGCCGGCTATCCGACGGGGCCAGCTAGGAGGCGGGACCGGCTAGGAGGCGGGGCCGTCTGAGCGACGGGGCTGGCTAGGACGACGGGGCCGAGGGGAGGCGGCGGGGCCAGCTAGGAGGCGGGGCCGACGGGGCCGTTGGGGCAGCGGGGCCTGCTAGGATGCGGGGCCTGCTAGGAGTCGGGGCCGGCTAGGCGACAGGGCGGGCTGGGCTATGGGGCCGGCTAGGCGACGGGGCTGGCTAGGAGACAGGCCGGCACGTGCGGGAGGGGAACGGGGCGGCTAGGACCTAGGGCGGAAGCACTAGTGGGCGGGGGGGACCTACCTACTCATGATACTATGTTGAAGTGAAAGAATGACTAGAATAGTGACATACAAAGGAATATAACTTAATGGGTTGTACTCCCTACGGCATAACCCTATATAGTCTATAACAACATACAATATATGTTTTACAGATTTCCCGCTCGCGGCAGCCCAACAACCAAACGTCTGTAATAATGGGGCGATATTTTTTTCGTGCCAGCCTGAGGCTGCACATTGGGCGAGGCGAGGTCCTTCACGGATCAGAAGGATCTCTCAGAATTCTAAACCTGCAGTTGGAGGGCGAAATGTACAGTACCAAGCGTTGGAGTGAGGACGAAATATACATTATCGATGGTTAGAGCGATGGCGAAATGTACAGTGCCAAGCGTTGGAGCGAGGGCGAAATGTACAGTACCGAGGGTTGGAGTGAGGGCGAAATGTGCAGCACCAGGCTGGCGCGAAAAAAATCTCGCCCCCCCGCAATTATTACAGTCGTTTGGTTGTTGGGCTGCCGCGAGCGGGAAATCTGCCAAAAATGGGCGGGGGTTTACATCTGCTGACCATTCGTAGCAGCCACTGACTAACAATGGAACCCGACTGACTAGCCGTGTGACGAACTCACTAATTCTGATGGTTTATAGCGTTCCACTGACCGTACGTAATAGCGGGGACCCTAATACTGAGAGCGGATGTACTTTCCCTAGATTATATCTTATTAACAACATCCTTCACGGCGGTAAACACATGAACCACTCTCCTCTGGGCAGCCAGCCGACGTTATCCACTGACAGCCAACTACAAACGCTTTGCATCACAGGTTCGGGAACGACTGGGAGTTTCGGATTTAGGCTTGGAATCTAGTCCTGGAAATACTTAGCAAAAGAGTCAAGTCATCGGCTGTGGAACAAGTCAATTCCGACACCCAGTGGCACCCTGACGAATGTAAGAGTGCAGGTTATGTGGCTCAGAACCCATGTTTCCAGCCAACACCACGACATCCAAACCCGTTTGGCAAGCTCCCAATCACGTTTCTCCACAAACCAAAGGCGGTGAGGATACCACGCCAGGTCGAGGCGCACTTCATTCGGGCCAAGCCAAACCCATCGGGCTTTCCCGCAAATTACCGAACTTCAAGTCCAGGTACGTGGCCGAAGGGGCTCCGTCACGCCGGACCAAACCGGCTTGAGAGATTGCGGACCAATTAGATGGTTTCAGGGAAACCCAAGCCATCAAGCAGCCGAATCTGGAGCTGAGCCCAAGCTTCAACGGCTCCTTTTGGGCTCTCCAAGGCCGTCGAACTCCTCTAACCTAGCTCTGCTTTGCTCTCGTTACCACCTGCCATGACATTCCCCCCGCCCCCAACCTCCCCCAACCCAACCAACCAGTTTTCATCTCATTGACCTCCAGCTGCTAAGCAGCGCACTCATTCCTCTCCATAGAAACCTCCAACTGGCTGGCCATGGCTGGCTAACTTCGGACGGAAGTGTCTCTCTAGTTCCATAAGCAGCGGAATCGGAGCTCCTATCAGATGCAAGCAGGTGTAGGCACCTAGACTAGCTTCCTTACCAGCAGAGTGCAGACATCGAACCCGAGTTTTTTGCTCTGAGCAGCAGTGCTGTATCAATAGCCACGTGGGTTGCGTAGTGGAGCCGGAAAAATAGGGCGTCCAAGTGCCGGTTCAGGGCCATCACCAGGGATGGCCCTGGATTGGCTAAAAACTTCTCTTCCATGGGTAGATAAAAGCAGTTCAGACGATTACAAACTTGTAAGTCCATACCTGCTTACATAAGGCAATAAGTCTGGTATTTTTTTTCTTGTTTACCGTCGTCGTTCGCTGGCTGTTGTTGGGTTATAGCAAGGAGAGGCCATTGCTGCCGTTAAAACTATTGACAAATCTTCATAATTTTCCTTGTCTTTATGTCGATTGGTTTACCAATCGTCAAGACGGGGATCGCCGCTTCTGTCCGGCTGCGATGGTACAATTAGACTCGTCTCACCGTAACCGGTCTCAACTTGTCCCATTTCCCGTTTCTCACTCTGGTTGACCAAGCCCTTAGACTGATCCAACCAGATGCAACCATTGAGTTATTACATCTCATGTGTGCGTAATCGCAGGCTGGGCAGGGAATCCAATCTCCGGGTGCTGCCTCGCGACAACCATTTGCAACGATGGTGGCCCAAGGAGGCGACGGCTTCGACCTCTCCCTCCCTGTCGCGCGGTTGACGGGGAGGCTCGGTCCCCCCTCTCCACGGGCCGCTTCTCCCCCACTAGTGCCACGCTCGTTATCATCACCCTCGTTATTAGCCTCGACCAGCCCACTGAAGGCTCCTCCGCCCCCCGCGTCTACTGCGTCGACGCTAAAGCCCGCTGGCGTGCAACAAGCAGCAGCAGGCTCGGCAGGCTCGGCAGTGGCAGCAGGGACGGCAGCTGCCAGACCTAAAACGGCTGGTTCGGGGAGAGCGGTGGCGTCGCCTCCAGGGACACCCCCGAGCACGTGGAGGGTTCGGTCGAAGGAACGAATAGCCGTTAGGAAGGCGAAAGGGCTGATCGGAGCCGCTCATGAGAGCCCCGAGTGGCTGATGGATCTGGGCCGTCGGATGAACATCCCATTCGAGTGAGTTGGCTTTGCAAGGCACGATTGCTGACTGGTCAGGAATGGCTTTGGTCTAGATCGTCGTGTGACCTGACCTGTGTACCATCAAGCCTCACCAAGTTCGGTACCTTAAGCTAGTTCACGCGTCGTATGGGTATCACCATCCTTATTATCCAGCTTTTGTTTTTCCGTCCCTGCGTGTAGCTTCACTTCGCTTTCGCCTGTTTCCCCCTACCCGTTTTCCTCCGTCTCCTTCTCTTCTCTCCCGTTCCCGTCCAACCCTCAAACTCCCTCTTTCTGGCACCGTTTTGCAGCCTACTTGCAGTGTTTTCCGAGAAGTGTCAGCGACCCACTCCTCGCCACCCCTCTGCTTCCCCCTCGGATCGTCATTCCGCTCCTACGCCTGAGTGCGTGCAAGCGGCGCACCTGATCAACCACACCGTGCAGACCCGCCTCGCGTCCTCCTCCTCGACTGCAGCAGCGGAAGCGGCGGCGGCGGCGGCGGTAGTGGCGGAACGTGGTGGTGCCGCTGCAGCCGCGGCTGCAACCGATGGCCCTGGTACCAGTGGCCCTGCTGCTGCGGCGGCTGCCGGCGCGCCGGTTGTGGGCTTAAGAGGAGTCCCTGCGTCTGCCGTAGGGGGTTCTGCAGCAGGGGTCGCGGCAGGAGGAGCGGCCGGGGGAGGAGTCGTGCCATTAGCTAGTTCGACGAAGGAACAGCAGCCGGCTGCTGCCACTGCGGGCACAACCCATAGCCCCGATAGTAGCGTTTTCGCTAAGAGAGCAGCCCCGGTTACAAGGCCTGCAGCCCGCGCGCCAGCGCCAGCGCCCGCAGCAGCAGCAGCGACTGAGAGATGGGGATGGGGGAAGAACAGCAGCAGTAGGGGGCTGTGGGGAAGGATTGGCAAGGGCCCGGATAAGAAAAAGGCGGAGAAAAAGGCGCAGAAAATGCCAGAAGCGAGCAGGACGGAGCGGAATTCCATTATGGACGGGACGCTAGTACCGGCCAGCCGCGCAGTGAACCCGCCCATGTCCCGAAACCCCATGTTTGAACCGGTAGGCGCGTCTAAGAGGCGGGCGGCGAGGCAGCCGGGGCTGCGGGTGCCCATGTGCATCAAGACGGTGAAGGTGCAGTTCGGGGACACCCTGGCGGAGATCGCGCTGAAGCACCGCACGTCCATCAGGGACCTGCAGCGGCTGAACAACCTGCGGTCGGACTTCATTGTGGAAGGCGACACGCTCATCGTCTCGTGCTGTGAGTGCTGGGAGGGGAGAGTGTTGTGTGGTGTGCATGGTGTCAGGGGGCGTTGAGTGTAGGGATACTCTGGCGTAGATCGCCGAGAGAGGGACCTGCGCGTGGACGTCGGCTGTGTTCCTGCATCGGCTGAACAACCTGAGGTCGGACCTCTTTGTGGAAGGCGACACACTCATTTTCTGTAAGTGCTGGGAGTGGGATAGGGGATAGACCACGTCTCATCTTAATATCCCACAGCTGTATACCCCATCCCGGTTCCCCCTCCATGGCCATTGCCCCATCTCGGTCTGCGTATTCTTGAAACTGGCCATTGCTCCAGCTCACCCTCTCTCAACACTATCCTCCTTTCTCCCATTGCCCCCCCAACATACACTCTGCAGCCAACCAGCGTCGCTCGGTACCAGAGCTCAGGCCTGGTATTCGCCGGACCTGCCGCCCCCTCTTTTCCCGGCTCTCCCCGTCCTCACTTGCGAACCTGCCCACGAGGCTCGGCGTGGGAGGTCCGGCAGCAGGAGCCATTGTGAAATCGGCTTCAGCAGCAGCAGGGGCTCGAGTTTCTCTTCTAGAAGGTGCGTTCTGCTCCTTGTGCTGATTGCTTGAAACTGAAGTGTGGCATTCCAGATTTCGCATTTCTGTCTGTGCTTTTTGGACTGCTGTGTCGCCTTTCTTTCCTTCTTTCGTTTGTAATCCACCTGTCATTGGCATCTGCATGCGAGCTGTAACTCCCTACGTGGGCCATGTCATTTCTAACTTGCAAGAAATGTTACGTGACCCAGTAGATGCTTCTTACTGAGTCATGGCCGCTGGTTTTGTGCACTTCATCTGTTTCCTCGTCTGATGCGCTATGCTCCCCATTCATGGCCCAACTTGTTCCCCATTGCCGGTACCCCCTCTCAAACCTACAGGTCGATGGATGAAGGGGCCCCATAGGCTTTCCCAGATCCATGAGTGTTGGTGCTGTGCTCTCTCTCCAATCACGATCTCTGCTCCCCCTCTCATTATGATCTGTGTTGTTTCCCCACCACCACCACCACCACCACCCCGTTCCCTCTCCCACCAACAGGGCGGTGGAGGAGGGGTCCCAAGGGCTTTCCCAAGTCGATGGACGGATGGCTGCGATTTAACTGCCCTGTGGTGGACGGGTGCGTTTTCAGGGGGAAAGGGGAAGGGGCATTGGCACTTGGGGGAGGTAGGGGTGACATTCGAGTGGACTTCAAACACCGTGGACGGATGGCTGCGATTTAACTGCCCTGTGGTGAACGGGTGCGTTGGACAGGGGATTAGGAGGGGAGGTGTTTCAGGTTGGGGGAAGTATAGGGTGCCTCTTTAGTGAATGCCCTGTGGTAGTCACTGCGTAAAACAGGGGGGTTGGACGGGCTTGTTCTGCATGCTGAGCTTGCTGATTGAGCTTTAATTGCCGACCTATCAGAAGCTGCGTTTTTTGTGAGCCTTTCTCCCGCTCCTTCCGCGAGCACTTTCATCTCAATCCCTCTCCCCCAATCCTCCTCTCAACCCTCTCTCCCCACCAGCTTCGTCAGCAGTCCCTTTGGCTGGCGATGGGGATCCTTCCATGAGGTACGCCTCCTCTCCCCCCGCCCCCCTCACTCTCTCGCCTTTCTCCCACCCTCTCCCCCTTATCCTCTTCCTCTCTCTCCTGCTCCTCCTCCTCCTTTGTCCCCGTCCCCTTGCCATCCTCTCCCCCGTTTCGTCCGCTTCGTTTCACTCCTTCCCCACTGTTATTCCCTCTGCTTCGTGTTCCTCTACCCGCTCCCCTATCTCATGTCACGCTCTCTATTCCCCCTTCTCCCCATCCCCTGCCGTTCCTCCACCCGCTCCCCTTTCCTTTCCCCCTTGCCACAGGGCGTGGATCTAGCAGCGGAGTTTGGCGCGCCAGTGCTGGCGTCAGACAAGGGCGTGGTGACGTTTGCAGGCTGGAGCGGAGGGTGAGTGGCTTTTGAGGGGGGACGGGAGTAGGGGGTGGCGTTTGGGCTGGAAAGTTCAAAGCTGGGAACAAGGGCATAGCGAGATGGGAATGCTGGCGTTGGTGGGGATGTAGGGTGAGTGAGTGAGCCGAGATGGGGGGAGGGGGGGGGGTTTGAGACGAGTGCATCACCGGGTGATTGTTCGTTTCTGCATGGCCATCTCCTTGCTTCTCCCCTCTATTCCCCCGTTACCTACTCTCAAGTAGTTGGTCTAGTGCATTGCTGCTTGTCTAAACATCCTCTTCTCCTCTACTCCCCCCCCTCCTTCCACCAACCCCCACGGTTCTCCTCTCCCCTCCTCCACCACTCCCCCCACCACGGCCTCCAGGTACGGCAAGCTGGTGACTATAGCGCATGACAATGGCTTCACCACTCGCTATGGGCACTGCTGCATCATCAACGCTCGCGTTGGGCAGGTGGGTGGTGGTTGATTCAATGGAGTTTGCCTTATAATTCATCGTTCAAGTGTCTTGGTTTGTACCACTACCACTCCACAAACTGCCCGCTTCCTAGTAGCTTCAGGGTGACCTCTTATCCTTGTGCCCTCCCTCACTTCCACACTTCCGTCCGTCGTCGTTTTCCAACTATACCTCCTTTTTTCCTGCTGTTGTGTGTGTTTGCGCTCGTGCGTGTGCGTGTGTGTCTGTGTGCTTCTGTGTATGTGTATGCACAAACGTCTGTGTGTCCATGTGTGCATGTATGCACAATGACTGCAGCGAGTGGCAAGGGGGCAGCAAGTGGCATGTGTGGGGGCAACTGGGCGAGCCACGGGACCCCACCTGCACTTCGAAGGTGCGTGCATTTGTTGCCACTGGCCCGTCTCTCTGCCCTTCCACTCTCTTCCCCCCTCCCTCGCTCTCTCTTCGTGTGGGGAGCAACTGGGCGAGCCACAGGTGACAAGACCCACCCTCACTTTGAACGTGTGCGACTTGTCACTTCCCCCTCCGCCTCTCTCTCTCCATCCCTCCCACCCTTTCTTCATCTCCACCTCCTTGCTTCCCACTCTGATTCTTTCTACCTTGGCCAATCCATTTCCTTACCTCACACACCACATCCTTCTGCCTGCGTGCCTCAACGGACTCAGAGGCGCTGGACCCTTTCAGATGGGGCATTTTGTGACCAAGGCCAGTGCAGGCAGAGTTGTGAAGCACCCCTTGCAGTCACCTCACCTTGCACAAGGCGTTCTTCTCTCACAGTGTTTCTACCTTTCCCCTGTTCTACCTTTCCACCCCACCGCTCAGTTCGCAAGAGAGGGGAGGCATTGGACCCGTTCAAGTGGTGCAACTTGTGACAGTAGAGCCGGTGCAGGCAGGCATAGCAGCAGCGCACACCTCCTCTCTTGCAGAAGGCATTCTGCTGAGTGTGCTGCGCTGCTGTGCTGCTGTCTGCTGCCCATCCTGCTCATACAGCCAGACAACACCATCCAGGCTGCAACTTAGGCCATGCCACACTGCTGCCACAGGAGCATGGAGTGGAGAGTGAGTGTGTCGCCTGACTGGTAGCTAGCTAGCCCAGTTCTGCACTGCATACCATTATTAAGACTCCCCAAGCTAGGTCTGAATAACCTATCGGTCGCATGCTCTCTTCCCTAAGGGTATACAGGCTAGCTGTGGGGGCACTAAGCCTGATAGCCTAGCATGGCATGGTTGTGCTCTAGGGGATATTTACACCAGCCCTCCTGTAAGGGAGGCAAGCAAGAACAGGTGTTGGTGCTCGCTTGTGTATGGCGGATTGAAAGACAGCTGCTGACTACTACGGTATGACAGTGGCGAACCAGAGTTCATGTGGCTGGTAGAGGTTCACTGTATTTGTGAGTGCTAAAGCCTAAAGTTTTGCTGGGGCGTATGCAGGGGTTCCAAGTGCACGGATGTCGTCATTCTGTTTGTAGCTTCCACCTATCTCTGAGACAGATTAGCCAGACTCATCCCTGCAGGTGTGGTGTGGTGGCAAGAAAGGAAGAAATGTTTCACCCCTGCATTTGGTGCCAGCCAGCCAGAGTGTTTTACATACAGCAACCAAGCCCATGTCTACTTCCCACCCCAATCAATGGAGATGAACACATTAGATTGCCAGGCAGCGTATGTACAAAGATTAAGACAGCATATCAGGGTTCAGTCAGTTCTTCCGGAAACAGGAAGCCATCAAGGGTGGGTGTTTGGTAGATATGTACACAAAATGCACCACCGTGTCTGGACTCGACTTCTCCTGTTGCCAGAGCTGTGGGAAGGGAGCGCCACAGCACACAGCACACAGCACACATCCAACAGCAGCGGCCGGAATCTAGGCCACCCCAACCACACACACACGCAAGCCAGCAGCATTGTTCGCAACAGCCGGAACACCAACTCACAATCTCTCCTCCATTCCATAGGGGCCCATTGAGCATAGCCGTTAACCCCAATGCCTTCCTCCTCCGCTCCCTCCCCTCCCTCCCATCGCCGCCCTTCCCCCTGAAGGACAAGCCCATCTTATGGTATGTGCTGTGTGACGTATATGCGGTGCACACTCATCACTCGGAACACGTGCAGAGCAGCACCTCCCTCAGCGTGGGGGACAGGTGGCACGTGCCCTGCCCTCCCCATTCCGTGACCTTCCCTCCGCTTCCCTCCCCCCTACAGGCTGAGCCCATCCGACCCAACCTCCGTGGTCGGACCCGGCTCCTCTTTCCCCTCTCCCCTCCTCTCCTCCCCCTTTTCTTCCTCCTGCCGCACCAGGAACCGCCCAATCGCATCCCTCAGCGTGACCACTCCCAGCAGCTCCCCACTCCCCCCCCACTGCCTTTCGCCTCTTCAGTGGCGTACATGCGGTGCACGCGCGCCACCCTGAACGCATGCAGCACCTCCCTCTGGGTGGTGAGGCGGAGGCGTACCACCCTCCACCCCCCTACAGGCTGAGCCCATCCGAACCAACCTCGGTGGTGGTTGGGAACGCCTCTTTGTCCTCTCCCCTCCTCTCCCTCTTTTCTTCCTCCTGCCGCACCAAGAACCGCCCAATTGCATCCTTCAGCGTGACCACTCCCAGCAGATCCCCACTCTTCTCACCCCCCTCCTGGGTGACGTATATGCGGTGCACGCGCGCCACCCGGAACGCGTGCAGCACCTCCCGCAGCGAGGTGGACGGGTGGCATGTGACTGGTGGCACCATGATCGGCCAGATGACGTCAGCCGTGCCGTGGTGCGGGCGCTGCGCGTCATACAGGAGATCTGCTACCGTCAGCGGCCTGAGAATGGGGAAGAGAAAAGGGGATTGTGGGGCAGATGACGTCAGCTGTGCCGTGATGGGGGTGCTGGGCGTCATACGCCAGATCTGCCACCGTTAGCGGCCTGAGGAAGGGGAAGGTTGGGGGTTTGGGAATAGAAGGGGTGGCATACGACTGATGGCGCCATGACTGATGGCGCCATGACTGATGGCGCCATGACTGATGGCGCCATGACCGATGGCGCCATGACCGATGGCACCATGACTGATGGCGCCATGACTGATGGGGAAGAAAAGGATTTCGGGGAGGGAAGAGAGACGACGCTAGCAGAAAAAAGGGGGAGGGTGCTAGTACGCAGAAAGCAGAAAGGCAATAAGCAGAGGGGGGAATGCGCGTACTTGAGGTGGTGCTGCTCCGCCAGGTGCGGTGACGTCAGCAGCTGCAGAATGTCCCTCGCGCTGATGTTTGCCGTGATGCGGTTGGTCCCCGGCGCCACCACGGGCACTCCGCCGATGTCGTGCTGAAGCATCAGACGGAACGGCTCCATTACCGGGTCCGACTCCTGCACCTGAGATAATAACGCGTACGGAGAGGGACGGATGGAGCATCAGACGGAACGGCTCCATTACCAAGGTCGACTCCAGCACCTACCTGGATAGTAACGCGTACATAGAGGGAGGGAATGTCACGCAGGAGAAGGCGAGGATGCGCGCATTCTAGCAAGAGGAAAACCGAAAGAGAAAGAAAAACAGCTTTGGTGACACATTGTATCATCTGCTTAGTGCCAGTGGTCTAGTGGTAGAATAGCACCCTGCCATGCAGCACGGTGCAGACCCGGGTTCGATTCCCGGCTGGCACATCTAACTCTTTACCTTTCTTGGGCATCATGATGTCGATCGCTGATACTAGTACTTCCTCCTCATTACCTTGTTGCACCAAGAACGTGTTGTTGGAGAATTTGGCTACCTCCTCTCCTCTTATGATCCAAAGAGTCCGTGAAACAAACGTGGATGCAAGAAAAGTTGTGAGCCCATCCATTACTCACTTCCCTTTTGCTAACAACGATCATTTTCCCAACCAAGCATGTGACTCACACGACTCACCTCAACCGCCCATTCTGCACTATGCCTGACAGCCTCACAACTCACGCATCTTGTCGCCACCCACCAGAGCCACAGCTGTCTGTCTTCAAGAGTTAACGACACATCGCTCACCTCTTCGACTGGTGATTCTGCAGCAGGCATTTCAAAAAGCCCTCTGTCTTCCACTTGTATTTCGGCCACCCCTTCTAATCCAGGCTATCCGTTGCACTCTGCTAGGCTGTCCGTTGCACTGCCAGGCTGACCATTGCATTCTGCTGCAACTGTAGGGATGCTAGGGATGCTAGGGATGCTAGGGATGCTAGGGATGCTAGGGATGCTAGGGATGCTAGGGATGCTAGGAATCCAACCGGCAATTTTCTGCACCCAAACCAAATGCTGTCACCGTCTGTGACGCGTTTGCACTGTCAACGTCTGTGACGCACTTGCAATGTCACTGGCCAAACTTCGACATTGGTTCCATTGTCATCCTGCTGTAGAGCTCTGCTCAAACATTTCAAACTTCTCAAAGGCACACAAATACTCATCCCTCGAGTGCCAGTGGTCTAGTGGTAGAATAGCACCCTGCCATCAGCACGGTGCAGACCCGGGTTCGATTCCCGGCTGGCACAAACCGCATCTTTTTGTCATTTTGCCTCAAATGACAATATTTCAAAAGCTGCTCAACATCACTCCTCACCTTGCATATCCAGCAGTTCTTGGCGTCCCCACGTCTTTCAGTTGCTTCCCCGCCACCCACTCGAACCACGGCTGCTCTTCGGGTGAGACGATGAATCTCACCTTCACAGTCGATTCTTTGTCCATTCTCGGGAGCCCCATGTCACTCAGCCTTCTCCCCGCCACCCACTCGAACCACGGCTGCCCGTCACACTCCGCCAGGAAATTCACCACATCAGCCTGCGACACCAGGGCTGACAGGCTCGGCACAGGGGCGGTCTCCGAACCTAGTGACGAAGCTGCAGCAGCAGGCTCGGCAGAAGTGGAAGCAGGAAAAGTGGCGGAGGAGGAGGAGGGAGGGGAGGAGGAGGGAGAGGAGGAGAGAAGGGAGGATGGAGTGGGGGAGGAGGAGAGGAGGACGCAGGAGAGGAGGCGGAGGGAGACGAGAAGGGAGAGGAGGAGAAGGGAGAGGAGGAGAAGGGAGAGGAGGAGGTGGGGGGGTAGGTGACGATGGGGAGCACTTGGGGGCGGTGGGGCATGGCGAGCAGCAGCATGAGAGAGAGGACTGAGTCGGACGAGGAGAGGGGGAGGAATGAGCGCCAGCGGAAGGACCCCACCAGTTCAGACACCTGGTGTGTGTGTGGGAGAGGTGGAGAACAGGGGAGAAAGGTTTGGGAGGAATGAGATATAGGAATATGAGGGGGAGGCGGAGGTATGGGCATGTGGGGGAGAGGAGGGGGCGGGATGAGGCACCAGATGAGGAGAATGGCAGGAAGGAGCGCCAGCGGAAGGACCCCACCAGGTCAGACACCTGGTGCAAAGATTGGGGGGGCGTGAACGGGGGTGCAGCGAGAAGGGTGCACGAGGAATGGGCACCACGAGCACAACGCCCCATTGGCTTGTGAGCAAGGGAGTCGGGAGTCAGAGGGAAAGAGGCGATTGGGAGAAGGGGAGGAGCGTGCGATGCGGTGTTGTGATGGTGGAGGCCTGGCGACAGGGGAAGGGCATGTGGGAAGGGCGATGGGGAAAGGGCGATGGGGAAGGGCGATGGGGGAAGGGCGATGGGGGAAGGGCGATGGGGGAAGGGCGATGGGGGAAGGGCGATGGGGGAAGGGTGACCACTTCGCTTAGTTGTCTGAAGAATCCTGAAGAATCCTGAAGAATCCTGAAGAATCCTGAAGAATCCTGAAGAATCCTGAAGAATCCCCCGGCCGGCCGACACCCGTTCCACCCCTCGCCCTCCTCACAGACTGGCGTGTCCCACCCCATTACCTTTACCAACTTACCATAGTCGTCTGAAACACGTTTCTCTGCAGCAGCCGGTCAAGTCCCCCTGCCGAAACTCTTACGCGCTCCACCCCTCCCCCTGCCTCCCCCTCCCCCGGCGCCTCTGCTGACTTGGAGCCCAGCAGCCCGCCAGCCATTGATCCTGCCCACATGGCCGCCAACGCGGCAGCATCTGGAGCGCCCAACGCTGCTGCGCCCAGCCCTGCCACTGCCAGCCCGGCCAAGCCTCCCCCTGCTGCTGCTGCCATGCGGAGTTCTGCAGACGAACGGTCGAGCTGAGAAAAGGAGGAAGATGGAGGGGGGTTGGGGGAAGAGCGAAGAAGAGCAGGCGTGAGGGGCGGGCGGGAATGTGGAGGAAGCGCGACGGGCACGAAGCATCTTTCTCAAGTAAAACCACTTCAAACCCAAGCCCCTCCTGCCCTCCACTGTCCCTCCCCCAAGCCCAAGCCCAAGCCCCTAGTACCTGCCCCCCACAGTACAATCTCCGCGCGCCCACCATCCCCCAAGTCCCGCTGCTCCAAGAAAGCATCGTCCACGACCCCTCTCACCATGTTCCCCCCCCCCCCCCTCCGCCCCCCACAACCCCCCCTCCACTCCCCCCGCCCTTCCCCCCCCCTCTTTCCCGTCCCCCCTGTCTCTCCTACCTGCCCCATGACCCACAGCACGATGCCCGCGCCATCCACCATGCCGAGGTACCGCTGCTGCAGAGGCGCGTCTTCCCTCGCTGCCACGTCCCTGACGGGTGCCGCCATGAGCCCGGACTTCTGCAGCAGTCGAAGAGCGTCCGAGAGACGAGCGTCGGAGGGGATTTCGAGCACTGGGAAGGAGGAGAGGGAAGGGCAGGACGACAGGGGGCACGGTACCGCTGTGAGTGAGTCCGTGCGAAACTTCTCAAAGTGTCGAGCACCACAGCGAAGAACGTAGACACGAGGCATAGGAGTCCACAGAACATCATACCTTCAAGCTGGTACGGGTGAGACATCTCAAAACTAAACTTCTATCGAACGTAGACCGAGAAGCATATGAGACCACAGAGTACCGTACCTTTATGCTGGCACGGGAACACCGACACCGGCAGCTGACTGAACGCCCAATTTAGCGCCTCCAACTCGCGCCGCTCCTCCTCCTTCACACTCTCCTTCGCTCCCTCGCCCCCTTCCTTCTCTCCCGCTGCCTTCCCCCGCACCCTCCCCGCCTCCCCCTTCCGCCCCGCGCGCGCCTCCCACATCTCTTCGATGCGCTCCTGCAGCGCCACCGCGTGCGCGGGGCGGTACCCCAGCGGCAACATCCGCCACTCCTTCGAGGGCCGCGAGGTCGCCTCTTGCGCGGCAGCATCCGCGGCAGCATCCGAGGCAACTCCCCTGGCGCTAGCGCCGCCACTAGCGCCGCCACTAGCAGACAAAGGCTGCGGCGGCTGCTGCTTCTGGTCGCCCCGGGAGCCATGAAGGCATCGGAACGAAAGCCCCTGGTGGTCGTTCGCGGGGGGTCGAGATGTGCGCAAGGGGAAGGGGGCTCCCAGCGTTTGCGCGCCTGGCAGCGGAAGCGCAGCCCCGCCGAGGGACGGGGGCGTCTCAAAGCGCCCCTGCGCGCGGGAGCGCGCGCTTCCGCCTGTGTACGAGCTGCCCCAGAGCTCGTTCCAGCGGGAAGCCGCCATGGCGCGGAGTGCCTGTTGCGAAACGGGTGATGGCGGTGCCGCCGCCGCCGCGGCCGACGCCGACGCCGACGCAGACGCCGATGCGGACGCGCACGCCGCCACTGCGTGGGATGCTGTGAAGGAACGAGTGACCTGGCGGGCTATCATTGACGACGCGAAGGCGAAAGCGGCCGTCGCCATGGGAGGGGACTGATCGGAACGAGGGTTGCTCCAAGGGACTGCGGAAACTCGGCGACAAGGAATTGTGGCTACGACAAATCCAGAGCTTCGGCCCGAGGGTTGGTGGGCCTTTTCAAGAAGCAGGTTCACGGCCAAAAGGAAGCCGAGCCACAGGGAGCGGCGTGGAAAAAGCTATTTTGAGTAACAGAAGGATGCTGCATCTCGGGGAGAAGCTTCGACAGCGGGCGCAGCAGACGCTAACAAGAAGAGGGCCGCTTTTAAGCGGATGCGCTTGTCTGGCGCCTCGCCGAAGAGGCGGGCTCGAGATGGCCGTGCATGGATCCATGCAGCGGGGAGAGGAGCGGGCCATGGCGGGAGGTAGGAGAAAAAGCGCATCATCATGGCGGCCTCCTTGGTATGCAAGCGGTCTCATCTCACGTGAGCTGAAGCAGAGGAACGGGGGAACGCCGGCGCTGCTTCACCATGATGGAGGAAGCGCTGGTGATATTGCATCGAGCGGTACAGAATGCATTACGGCAAGCTGCTGCTTCTCTGCACCACGTGTGCACATCATCGCGGCATTCCAAGATATGCCACACAAGGGCAACGAAAGCACTCAGGTGGAGAAAAGGGGAGAATTTGACCTTCGTGAGATACTGCCGAAAGCAGGCGTTGCTTGGTCGTCACGGAAGGCATGGAGGAGGTGCAGTATGTGGCGGTGCGGTCGTCGGTGACATTTGAGAGAATTGAGAAATCGAGGGTTGCATTGCGTGCAGAAGTGCGTTTGTGCAGAGAAAATCAAAATTGCGTGCATTCGCGGGTCGCATGGCGCTGCGACGTGCTTGGGTCCACACGTGAGGTGGACGAGGGGAGGTGTTCCGACGGACACGTGTGATTTGCGCACTGAGACGCAGCACCGATTCCTGGTGAGGTGACGTGGATTCAGCCATGCGCTTTCGTTTCAACTTCCGTCACGTGGTCCCAGGGATGCAAATTTACGGGCAGACGAAATGTGATCTGAATTGTTTTGTCGGAATTCGGCCGCTGCCATTTGCTCATGAGCGAAAGTGTACGAGTTCTCCCAGACAGCAGAAGCCTGTGTATCCCAACCGTCGTTTCCTCTGAACCGTTCGATTACACCGCACTCGCTGGACACCCCTAGATTCAGCGCTTTCACTTTTGTTCCAGTACAGAACCTCTGCCCGAAGGACCTCTGCCCCAAGGACCTCTGCCTGAAGGCTTCGCGTGTTCCCCTCCCCTCGCCTCTCCCACACGCCGCTTCTCTGCTCGCGCTCCCAAGGGCAAATCCTCCCCACCAGCGTCTTCCCACTCAAATTCACTCGACTCCGTCATTCTATTTCCAGTTTCAACTTCGATCTACACGCGCTTCTCCAAGACTTTCTTGGCACTCGCAACCATTACTTCGCGCTAATTTCTGCCAACTTTCCTTGCGCGTGCGTTTGGGAGTTCCTCTTTGTCAGCAAATCGCCAGCGAAACCTTGAGAATGCCGACTCTCATGCCTATTCGACCGTGGAATCTGGCGACAGCTACTCTCGGCATGGCGTCTGCCGTCGCTTTCGTGACAGTCGGCACCTCCTACGCAATTCATGTTAGTACCACGCTATATTATCGATAAAATTTTCTAATCCAAGCGTCGTAGTCGTCCTCATCACATGGCCTGTTGGAGGACTTTCCGTACACATCATTAATGGCGTGGCTGTTCATTATCATGGATGATTGCTTGCTGGTACTCGCCTCACTGACTATCGTGTGCGAGTTGGCAGAAATACGTTGAGAAGAATCGGAAGAGGTAATCGACCTCGCCCTGTTCTTGTTCCCACGGACCAGCGGATATCTCTTTCCTACTAGTAGTACTACTAGTAAGACGACGGACACAGTCTTGCCTGTCAGCTTCACGCGATTGTGCGCTGCCGATTTTTTGTGTGTCTGTTTTTCTCACGGTTTCCTTTTTTCACATGCTACTTGGCTGCTGGATTGGGTGCAGCAGTGGACAGAGGCCTGGCGAAAGAAGGTGAATCCTGGTAACCAGCAGGTGAAGGAGACTTCGTTCATCTACGAGCTGGCTTGAAGGGACGGCCCCTTCACCTGGCGTGATGCATGCCTGCGTGGATGATGCACGCGTACCTGTAAATAGTCTGGGATTCGTGAGGCAGAGCCGCGAGGAAGTTTTGCGCGCGTGCCTGTAAATAGTTTGGGATTCGTGAGGCGGAGCAGCATGCGAGCATGGATGCTGAAACTCCCGCTCGAACCATTTTAGTGCCTAATGCCGGTTTAGCACCGTTAGAACATGTATATATTGGGTGGAATTGCTGTTCTGGTGAGAATTGCAGTCTTGAAGTGAAGCAGAGCAGGATCAATTGTACCCTATCCAGCTCATTTGATACCTTTGATACAAGAGGAAAACCGGGCAGAGACGCCTTGGCTTGGATGGGAGTCCCACCGTAGGACCACATTTGCGACATAGACCGCTTGGAAAACCAGACGTCTATACCCAGCTGTGATACCCACGTGCACCCACGAACTAAACCCAGACCGGGGCGGCTACCAATGAGGTCGTGGTCGTGGAATGACAGGAAGGGCACCTCCTGGGAGGAAACTCCGAAAGTGCGATATCAATGCAATGATATTTCAAGGCATTTAGTTATTGAGGTGGACCGTGGAAGGTCCCTCATGATGTTGATATGCAAGTCATCGTGTGATGGGTGCAGCACACTAAAAAGACGCACACCAGCGCGATCTTGAGCGCCTCAAGCATCTCGCCCTCGCACTCCGCTATGCCCGCCACTCTCGGGTCCAGCACGCCCCCCTCTTGGCCTCATCCCCCCTCCTGTCCTCCTGCCCCTCCTCCTGCCCCTCCTCCTGCCCCCCCCTACTACTGCCCTCCTGCCAGCGCCTTGTGTTTTCAGCACCCAGAACTCACAGCCTACCCACCCCCCTCGTCGCCTACTCTCTCCAGCATGGAGACTATATCCGCCATGATGGGCCGCTCCTCCGCCTCCTCCCCCACGCACACCAGCGCGATCTTGAGCGCCTCCAGCATCTCGCCCTCGCACTCCGCTATATCCGCTACCCTCGGGTCCAAGACATCCCCCGCCGCCCCCTCCTCCACACACACGTTCACCCACCCGATCACGTCGCCCAGCTCGTTCTCTGCGAACCAGGGGTCTAAGGGGGGTCGGCCTGTTAGCAGCTCGAGAAGAACGACGCCGAAGCTGAACACGTCGCCCTCTGGGGTTGCTGTTGTAGGGCCGGACATGTACTCTGGAGGGGGGGGGGGGGAAGGGGGAGTGAGGCAGGAAGAGAATGAGCATGGTGGGTCTGCAAACCAAACCAGGGGTCCAAGGGGGGTCTGCTGGTTGACAACTCCAAGAGGGCCACTCCTGAGCTGAAGACATCCCCTTCTGGCGTTGCTGTTGTCGAGGCAGACATGTACTCTGGAGGGGGGAAGGGGTTGGGTGGGGGGAAAAGGGAGCGAGGTTGAGTTTCTAGGAAGAGAAAGGTCAGGGGTCTAGGGGGCGGCGGTCGGTGAGCAGTTCGAGTAAAACGACCTCGAAGCTGAGAAAAGTCCCCTTCTGGAGTTGCTGTTGTTGGGCCGGACATCTACTCTGGGCGGGAGAGAGGAGCGCGTTGGAGTGGGAGAGTTTGTGAAAGAGCGGGGAGGGTGGGTGGGGTGGGGTGGGATGGGGTGGGATGGGGTGGCAGGTATTCCAGAGTCCCACCAGGAGAGGCATGCCTTCAACGACAAGGTCATCAGAGCCACAGTGGTTTGTGAAGCGACAAAAATCCCAAAGCATGCCTCCAACGACCAGGTCGTCCTTGGAGCCCCAGTGGTAAGACACTTCCCAGGAGGACTATGCCCCAGCGTCTCGAGAGCCAAGCCAAGCCACGTGCACATGGCCCGAGTCCAAGGAAATGCGCTCCGCAGCAGTGATTGTCAGCCGCGCATCCCTATCGCCCCCCCCCCCCCCCCAGCAGAATGTTCTGTGGATGCGGCGACCCCCTGCACCAGATCCTGCCTACCAGGGGGAAGGTGTTATCCTCAGAGCACATACTCACCAGGCGGAGTATACCCAAGTGTTTCAGGCGCCACGTGTACATCGTCCGAATCGAATGCAATGCGGGCAGCTGCCGTGTCGGTCAGCCGCGCTTCCCCATCGTCCCCCAACAGGATGTTCCCTGGATGCAGCGACCCGTGCACCAGAGGGTCGGGGGCCAGTTGGGAGCCGGGCGGCCGCGGGAGAGTGAGGGTATGGAGATGGGCCACGCCCTGGGCTATCCCTATCGCCACTTTCTTCCGCGCGTCCCACGTTAGCGAGTTCTCAGAAAGCTCCTGGTTGCAAGGAAGCAAGGGAGTGTTGGGGGGCAAGGGTGGGTGCGGCAGAGTGAGCCTGTGCAGGTGCGCCACTCCTTGAGGTATCCCTGTCGCCACTTTCTTCCGCGCGTCCCACGTTAGCGAGTTCTCAGACAACTCCTGCTCAGAAAGGAAGGCGGAATGAGCAAAAACAAAGGGGAAGCACGGAGCGTTAGCAACTCATGCACCAGAGGGTCAGGGGCTAGCTGCGAGCCGGACGGCCGAGGCAGAGTGTGCGCGTGCAGGTGCACCACCCCTTGAGCTATCCCTATCGCCACTTCCTTCCTGGCGTGCCACGTTAGCGAGTTCTCAGAGGGCTCCTTAACAGGAGGGAGGGAAAGGAGGGAGGGAAAGGAGGGAGGGAAAGGAGGGAGGGAAAGGAGGGAGGGAAAGGATGGAGGGAAAGGAGGGAGGGAGGAAAAGAGGAAACGAGGGAAGGAGAGTGAGCGTGTGCCGATCGGCCACGCCATGCGCTCTTCCCAGAGCCACTTTCTTTGTGGCGACCCATGTTAGCGAGTTTTTCAGACAGCTGCTGGAGGGAAGGAACGTAGGAAAGGAGGGGAGAGGGAGAGCAGGGAAGGGGGAATGGAGTAAAGGAGGGAAGGAAGGGAGGAAACGAGAGGAGGGGAGGAGAGACGGCGGGAAGGAGGGAGGACAGGAAAGAGGAGAAGGTATAATGAGGAAGACAGGCGTGTGAACGAGGTGACTTTTGAGTCGACTCAGAAGGTATAATGAGGAAGACAGGCTTGTGAACGAGGCGCTTATCCCCATCATCCCCAGCGGAACGTTACCCCGCCATCAAGCCCTCACCCCGCCATCGAGCGCTCACCCCGCCATCGAGCCCTCACCCCACCATCGAGCCCTCACCCCGCCATCGAGCCCTCACCCCGCCATCGAGACCTCACCCCAACCCCTCACTTCATCGTGGAGGAAGTCGTTGAGGTCCCTGTTGGGCATGAGCTCGTACAGCAGTGACTTATGAGTCAACTCAAAAGTACCGACTTTTGAGTCGCCTCAACAGTCACCCCGTTGGGCATACAGTAGCACCCACCTGCCCGTGATCTCATCTTCTCAATAGCAGGCACAAGGTCCGCATCCCACCATCAACACCCTCACAGTGTCACACCACATGCAAGAGGCTAGTCCACTCACCTCATCATAGAGGAAGTCGTTCAAATCCCCATTGGGCATGAGCTCGTACAGCAGCACGCGCCTCCCCGTGATCTCATCCTCCCAGCAACCCAGCAGTGGTAGCACGTTCGGATGGTCGATCTCCGCCAGCGCCCGCATTTCCTGAGGGAATGGAAGCGCGGGATGGGGTTTTCTGAAATACTTTGTGGGTGGCAGATGCCAGCCAGATGAAGCATGTCTGGTTCGGGTGGTTGACTTCCGCTAGAGCGCGCAATTCCTGGTGGCGTAAGAATCATGGAAGGGGGCAAAGTGGGATGTTTTCCGAAACAGTTGAAAAGTGGCGAATATAGAAAAAAACTCATTCGTGGCGCGTGTCCAAGGTGGCTGATTTCTGCCTGTCCCCGCATCACCTGGGGGAATGGGAACAAGGTTGGGCTTCAAGGGGATGATTGGTGGGCGGCTGACGCCAGATGCAGCCCGTTTGAGGGGCGGATGTCTGCTCGAGCCCGCAAAAGCCTCACCTCCATATTCAAACTCATGGGTACGGGGAAAACTCCTCCCCGTCCTCCCCTTGCTCTGCAACAGTAGGTAACAGCTTCGCCACGAGCATGGGCCCCTCGTCCCCCAGCATGTCCGCCACAAACGCCACCCCACTCACCTCCATATTCAGACTCATAGGAACAGGAAACTCCTCCCCATCCTCCCCTTGCTCTGTCACCGTGGGCAGCAGTTTCGCCACGAGCATGGGTCCTTCGTCCCCCAGCATGTCCGCCACAAACGCCGTCCCCCCGCTGGGCCCCGGGCCCCTCGTGATCATCTTGCTCTGCCCGAACTCGTCCGTGGCTGCTAATAACGCGGATGCACGCACGGCCCTCCCGTCAAACATGGTCACCAGCAACGAGCTGCTCTCCCCTCCTGCTCCTGCCGCCACACCATCTGCATCATCATCATCATCGTCTCCGGCCCCTCCTGGTGATTTTGAGCCGGCTGCTGCTGCAGCACCGGCAGCACCAGCACCTATACCCACTGCAGCTGCAGCAGCAGCTGCTCCTATCAGCGCTGCTCCTCCTGCTGCTCCTGCTCCTCCTCCTCCTCCTGCTGCTGCTGCTGTTGCTGCCCCGCCTGCTGCTGTACCACCAGCAGCACCACCAGCAGGCATCCCTTCCCCTCCCTGCATCCCCATCCCCCCTTCTCCCTCTGCTCCTCCCGTTCCATACTCGTTACTGTACGGCCCGCTATAAGTCCCTGCTCCTGCTCCCCCTGCCACCGCCGCCGTCGCCGCTGCTGCTTCAGCTTCCGCTTTAATAGCAGCATCCTCGTTAGTAGGCACCCCATTATACCTGTGCTTCGCCCGTGCTGCCATGCCGCAGAGATACGGGCATCCAAAGGTGAACAGCGCTGCAAAGAGCAGAGTTGCTAGTAACGAGGCAGCACATAACGCGAGCAGCTGCCACCAGGCCAGGTCGTTACTATAGGGGTTGGTGCTTGTAGAGGGGGGAGGTGGGGTGGGGGAGGAGGATACGTCTAGGTTACTAGACGAATCACCAGGCGGTGGTGCTGGTGGTGGTGGTGGTGGGAGGGAGTTTGAAGGAGGGGTGGCAGGGGGAGTGAGAGGGGGAGTGAGAGGAGGGGTGAGAGGAGAAGGGAGAGGAGGTGTTGCTTGGGAGGGTGGGGGAGTGGAGGAATTAGGAGGGGAGAAATGGGCGGTTGGGCGAGAGGAGGAGGGAGAAGGGAAGCGGGAGCAGGAGTAGGGGAGGGGGAAGAAGTGGGAGCGGGAGAGGGTGCGGATGAGGGGGAAGGGCTGGGGGAAGGAGAGGGGGCGGGGGAAGGCCCTTCCCCTGGCGGGGGGGCGGTACCAGGGGGAGGCGCAAGTGGGGGAGGGGTCAGAGGCGGACGGGGGGAGGGCGTGGGGGGGAGGGGGGCTTGCTGGGGGGAAGAGGGTGATGTGTATGGGGGCGAGGAGGAGGGAATGGTTGTGGGGAGGCCAGGGGGGACGGGGGTGGCGGGATGGGGGTCTTGGGGGATGAGTGCGCTTGGGGGGGGGGACAATGGGGGACCTGCAGGGGTGATTTCGGGGAAGAAAGGGGAGGTTGGGGGGGAAGGGGGGATTGGGAGGGGAGAGCGGGGGTATGGGGGCGGGCGTTTCCGGGGGGGAGGGGGGCTTGGGGGGAGGAAAAGGGGGAGCGGGGAGCAGCAGAGGAGGGGAAGAAGAGGAGGAGAAGAAAGAGGAGGGGGAAGAAGCCGAGGGGGAGCGTTAGGGGGAGTGGACACAGGTGGAGGGAGAAGAGGAGGAGGAGGCTGAACCGGGGGAGGGGGCTCCTGCGGTGGGGGAGAGGCAGGCGGAGGAGGAAGAGGAGCGGATGGGGAGACGAAGGGGGCGGGGGGCACGAGGGGGAGGGGAGGGCGGACTGGGGTCCCACCAGGGGGGGAGGGCGGGCATTCCCCATAACACAATCCCGGGTTGCCTTCAAACGAGGACGGGGGGAACTTCGCCAGGGGCCCTTCTGCCGGCGTCGACCCGAACAAATCATTATTCGACACGTCAAACCGAACCAGATTCTCCAGCCCATTAAACGGGGAAGTTCCCCTACTAAATCGTTCCCATTCAGCGTCAGCACCTGCAGCTGCGCCAGCGTGTTCAGCCTCGTCGGAATCAACCCTCCTATCCGGTTCGAGTCCAACCTCAACGAAGTCAGACTCCACATCTGCCCCAGCGTCTCTGGAATGCTCCCATCCAGCCTGTTTCCCCCCAGATCCAACCTTGAAAGCCGCTGCGCGTACCCTAGCTCCTTCGGGACCGAGCCTTCGAATCCGTTCCCTCTTGCTGAGATGGTTTGGATGATGGGGAGAGACGCAGGAGCCGGGCGAGAGGGGGCCGGAGAGCTGGTTGTAGTCCAGCAGCATGTCCTGCAGCTGAC